AAGTTTGACACTTCTCTGGCCATTATCTCTGTAACCGTTCAACTTTGGACATAGGTGTTCTGGGTTATATCGGCATACTTTAACATAAGGAACACCCTCCCGAAGTTTGGTCCATTCCTCCTGTGACACTCTGTATACAAGGCTTTTGCTCAATTAACTGTACAAAAACAAAATGATCAGTTTCGTTAACATACGTATATATACAAATGAATTAATGACGACGCGTTGTAGAATAGCTGACACTAGGAAACTACGCGGCAATGTAATTGTGAGGGCATTCCCCGTTTCCTGGAAGTTTAGTTTTTCAGTCTTTCCGCATGTTGTGTTGCCGATTCCTTAAATTGCGCCGCTCCGTTTAGTAACGTGTGTATAACGCAGGCAATTAACGATTCTCGGAAGTTGTGGTTGCGTTGCGGTTGTCAGTTTCCTTGGTGTGCCCTCGCCCTTATTTGTTGCTACGACACATCTGATGTTTAGCAACTTGATACCTGGCAACGATCCCTCCGTTACTATTTGCTGTAACGGGAACCTGATTTCCGAGCTGTTGCAAGGCAATGGACGTTTGCTCCGACTCCACCATTCCGGCTTTTAGCCAACACGTCACATTTTCGTTAACCACGGTCACTACATGGACACAAGTTGCGCCAATTCGTGTGGTTATCCACGGGTCATAGTAGCTAGGCCCTAAATGTGCCACGGTGTTCTAACCGGTTTGTGTGCGCAGCTGCAACTTTTTGTACGGTGTTCGAAAGTTGGCAATGATCGAAGTAGCTGTGTCATGTTCGGTCATGTTCGTCTTTCCTGGAAACTAGTTTACTATAGTGTTTCAGTAGCTGTTGTGTTTTTTTAAGACGGAATTTTACCTAGTTTTTGTGTACTAAGTTCATGACTTTAAATTAAATGAAAATGGCTTCCAAAGTTAGAGTTTTCGTTGTGGGCGTTGGAATGACAAAGGTAATTAGTATAGCATACATTAGAACTGAACACAGCTTACAAGTAAACCAACAGTTTTGACACATTGTCAGATACTTTGTAGCATCCAGTAGGTATTAAGTGTACAGTTCAGGAATGTTTATAATGTAAAATAAACACACACATATATATGTAAACTATGCAACCAAGTTGCATATAGTCACTCTAACAAAATAATTAAAAATTTCAATTCATAGTAAGAATTTGGAGCCATGAACTTTGGCGGGGGGGGGGGGAAATTTTGTCCAAAGTCAATAGTTAGGTTAACTACATAGATCCTATGTACATGGGATGTGAAACTAGCAGAAATCCCATCCACGATACTGCCTATCTTGAAGTTTCCATGGTTTTCCAAGGAAATACAGCACATTACCTTAAAATAGGTCACTTCTGTATCTCTGCCAACTCACCATTCTTAATTGCCTAGGCATATTCCCTACAGCTGAAATAGCACCAGTTAATATTGAAAAATACTAGGTTGAGTAGAGCATGTAGTTCCTCCATGTTATCATTTTGCCATTTTAAGCGAAATTGTATTTATGAGTTCATATACATGCCTTTTACTGCCTAATTTATAACATGCAGGATATGCAGGATTGAACATCGTCAGAAATAACTTACGCAGGACCAGGTGCTACAGATGGTATTGTGGTATGTGTTACATAGTTACTGTACCTTGTATGTGTTTCTCATTTGAATGGAACATGATAACATTGTTTTATTTTTAGTTTGAAAAGCCTGGCAGAAGGGATGATTTTGATTACCCTGAGATGGCAAAGGAAGCTGTAACAAAAGCTTTGAATGATGCTGGATTGCAGATATATGATGTAAAACAGGCTTGCATTGGATATGTCTATGGTATGTACTTTTATGATCTTGCACTTGTAGTAAGTGCATTGTCATTGGCATTGTAATAAAAATTTATCATTGCTTTCTCTTGTTTTTCTTCTCATGTATAATCTGAAATATTCATCTATTATTGGTGATTGTATATTGTGGGTTATTGGGGTGGAAAGTGTATATGTAGACTACATAAGTGCAGCCTGTCAATAGCATGAAGAACTTCCCAGGACAACTTTAATATTAAAAATGAAACTGCTCTATGGAAAGTTCCCGGACTGTTACTGTTGTAAGTGTCTCGGTGAAAGAAGATGAGAGGGGAGGCCAAGGAGACATTACCATAAGCCTGTTGCATCAGTCTGCCACATGACACTACGCTGTGAACACGCATTGTCTTTACTCAAGTGCTCTCTGGACTTAGTGTTTCATTTTGTCTCTGATGGATGGCAAAATCAAGCAACGTGTCTGCATCAAGTATTGTGTTAAGCTTGGTAAATTTGCTACCAAAACCCCTGAAATGCTTCGTGAGGCTTTTGGAAAACATTCGTTTAAGCCAGACATTGGCCTTTGAATGGCATTCATGTTTCAAGGCCGGTTGAGTGTCAGCTGAAGATGATGAACATTCAGGGTGACAAAGCACCATCAAAACGACATAATCATGGTGGGAAAATCTGAGATCCCATGCACAAAGACCGTCATCGGACAATCCATGAGCTAGCAGACACTGTTGGGATCAGTTATGGAGTTTGCCAGAAGATCTTAACAGAAAAATTGAACATGCGCTGTATTGCCATGATTTTGTTCCCTGACTCTTTACAAAAGATCAGAAGCAGCATTGCATAAACGTGTGTCTTGAGCTATGAGAGAAGGTTAATGAGGACACAATTTTTACTCATATCTCCAGGATCGTAATGCGTGACGAAAGTTGGATTTATGGTTATGATCCAGAAACAAAGCAACATCCGTCCAGTGAAAGAGCCCAGAATCACCAAGAGCAAAAATGGTGTGGCAGGTCTAAAGTTCAACGAAGAATATGCTCATTGTTTGTTTTGACATGAAGGGGGGTGGTTCCTCCTAACACTATGGTCAGTTTGGATTTTGACTGTGACATTTTGAGACACTTGAGAGGAAACGTGACGAAAAACACCAGAACTTTGGTGCAACCGCAACTCGCTCTTTCCTCATGACAACGCGTCTTCCCACACGTCCCTGAAAACTATAATGTTCATGACTAACATGGTTATTATTCCCTGTCCTCCCTACTCGCTGGATTTACCCCCCTGTGATTTCACTTTATTTTCCAAGTTGGAAATGAAGCCGAAGGGACAACATTCTGAAACAGTGTCTGACATCCAAAGGGAATCACAAGTGGTACTCAACAACAGTAAGGAAAATGACTTCCATCGTGCTGTTGAAGTGTGGGAAAAAACGGTGGGATTGCTGTTTACATTCCCAAGGAGACTATTTTGAAGGAGATGATAGCCAAAATTGAGTAAGTTAAGCCAGAATTTCTTTTTTTTACCTAGTTCAGGAACTTTCTGACACACCCTCATATGGAAGGTGAACTATCTTGCATATCCAACTGTAGACCAATTTAATTAACACGTTTGAGAAAGTTAACAGAGTAAGTTATTTCATTAACTTGAACAACACTCCTGCAGATGAACATTTCAGATTTATGAAGGATCTAGCAATGCATAGAGAGCTCTTATCAGATTTACAGGTGGAATCTTATGTGCTTTTACTAATCTAATACATGTTTGTGCAATATCTTTTGATCTTGCTAGAAGCATTTGTATAAATCATGGAATGCCGCTATCAGAACTAAGTTTTTATGGAATTGGAGGAATGGCTGGGCAGTGATTTAAATCATATCCTTGTAAGAGGAAGCAACAAATAGAAATAAAATCAGTAAACTCAGATTGTAAGACCTACTCACAGTGGGACTCTATATTTATAAAACATTTAGTTCCTCAGTGTTCAGTATTTGGTTCTCTGTATCTCCTGTATTGTGGTCTAAAAGAAGGAGAAGCTTTATTGCCTTTGATTTTCAACCTTGTTTTATACGAGGGTTGGAACTTTGATAGTGGCAACAGTGCTGTAGAGATGCCATGCAACGGAACCAAATAATGTCGCTTATACCACACGTTAGTTACATACCTACCTTACCTCAGAGCAAATGGACTCTCCCTTCCCACATCACACGCATGTGCAGTGACGAGAACAACAACCTCGTGTTAGCTGGCGGTCTAATGTAGTGTTGTCACGATGTTTTTGAAACAGAAACAACAGAGTTGGATAAAGATTGAATGTGCCAGAGGCCGTACAGCATGACAGTATCATCAAGGTCTTCAAGAGGCTTGCGGGGAATCTGCACTGCCTTACAGAACAGTGGCAAGGTGGGTAAAAGCCTTCAATGAGGGATGCCAAAATGTGGCAGACATGCGTTTGCCAGGTCGTCCTGGTGTCAGTGAAGAAGAAGAAGAAGAATTGTATGCTTTTTTCGTGTTACTGGAGAGTGATCGATGTCATATGATTCTTGAGCTGGCCGAGAGACAGGATTAGCGCATGTGACTGTGCTTTGCATTCTGAAGGAATGTCTGAGCATGAGAAAAATTGCATCATGACGGGTTCCGCATGATTTGATGGAAATGCAGAAATGGCTACGATACGACGCTGCTTGTAATCACTTGGAGTGCTATGAGTGCGAAGGAGAGGCTTTCTTATGCCATATCAGTACGCTGGATGAGACATGAGCCAAATCATACTAGCCACAAATGAAACACCAATCGAACGAATGGCATCAGTATGGGTCACCACAAAATTCAAAAGTTCGTTAGAACCCCAGAAGTGTGAGAGTTATGATGAGTCTTGTGTACGACTGTGATGGTGTTACCCTAACACGTACCATTCCCTGACAGCAGACCGTCAGTGCGTAGTATCACTGTTCATTTTTGGAACACAATCTGCGACCAGCTTTGAGAAAAAAGCGGCGACACTTTCTGCAGAACCCACCCATCATTTTGCAGGACAGTGCTTGGCCACATGCAGCACAAGCTGTGGCTGATTTGTTCAATCAGTGGGGCTGGGAAGTCATGTACCATCTACCATACTCCCTGGACTTAGCCCTTGTGATTTCGACTTTATTCCTAAGATGAGGGAACCACTTCGTGGCATTCGCTTCAGAACTGTTCCAGAGATTCTTCAGGCAGTATCAAACTATGAACACAACGGGCACTGCTAAAGGTATCCTACGACTTCCACATTGATGGCAACGGGTTGTACAGAATGCTGGTGACTACAATGAAGGACAGTAAAACTTCAAAATATGCATCTATTTTATATCGGTTGTAAATAAATAGTTGCCACAATAAAGTTCCAACCCTTGTAATATGGCATCAGGGAGATGGTAATTAGGTTGGACTGAAATTTTTTGGGACACACCAGCTTCTGCCATATGCTGAAGATGTAAATTTACTGGTAAATAACATAAATAATGTGACATGTCTGCTGAATGCTGGAATAGCAGAACCAGAGGAGATGGCTGTTGCTTGGGAACATGTCTGCAAGCATTGCCAGAAATTAACCTTCTCATTAATTTTCTCGTGAATCAAATTTTCATGTGTTCCTTCTGAAATATTTGTACTTTGCCACATTTTCAAAGGCTCTGTTAGGCATATTTGTTATGATTTGTCCTTTCATTCTGGTGATGAGATATTAGCATATACTTAGTTTTCTGTGTGTTTACTTCTAGACCGACCTCCTTACTGGCATCAGAGCTTCTAAGATTCTCATCAGCATAGAGCAGAATTTGATTTGTCCCATTCAATTTCTCTGCCACATGGTTTTCCTGGACCTTCCTAATGGCATATTCAAAGCAATGGTGATAAAGCATCTCCTTGTTTTAGATAGTTTTGAATAGGAAACATATCAGGCAAATGTATCTATTTTACTATGGATTTTGTTTAAACTTATTTTAAGAAGCCTAACTAGTTTCATGGGTACCCCAAACTCAGTGAGAATATTGTACAGTATATCCCTCATAATAATCATAAGCTCTCTTGAAGCTATGAATAGCAGATGTACTGTCATATTGTACTCACATTTTTCCCCAGTGTCTGACAAATGCAAAGAATCCTATCAGTAGTTGATCTGTTATTTTCTCTGCATATGGACCTAACCAACCTTGAGAGGATAAAGGTAAGGTAAAGTTGTCCTTGTGTTTAACTAATTAAACACTACGCCATGAAGGTGTATGGGGGAGTGGATGTATAGATGCACATTTTCTTGACCTCAGCACTAGCTGGAGGTGAGTGGTCAGCTTCACGCCCCTGCCACTTTACCCCCAGGTAAAGAGCCCCTGATATCATTGGATAAGAGGCTGGGTGGGCCCCAGAGCCAGCCTGGATGATATGGTGAAGAGAAAACCATGACCCTACTGGGACTCAAACTCCAACCCTTCTGTCATCCAGCCTGTAGGCACTCACTATACTGACTCTGCTACCCCAGCTCAACCTTGAGAAGATACTGAATAAAATTTTGTATATGAAGGTGATAACAGTAATGTGCTCTGATAATACTGCAGAGATGTTTAGTGTCCTTCTTGTAAACTGGTTCAAAAATAGACTTCTTTCACAGCTCAGGTATTTCTTACTTATTCCAACTAAAATTAACGAGTTTATGGATCTGAGAACATGCTGTTTGCTTCCATATGTTCTGGTGGAATTTGATCAATATGTGGTGATTTAAACTCTTTATAACTTTACAGTAGCAATTTCAACCTCGAAAGGACTAGGCTCAGGTACTAATGGCTCATCCGTATCTATTTTCATCTGCCTAACTTCACTAACCCTATGTACACTGAATAGCTGATGATCTGAAATAGCATAATCGGCATAGTGACTGGCTACAGGCTGGTTGACCATGGGGTTGGAGTTCGAGTTCTGGTAGGGTCGAGAATCTTCTCTTCTCTACATCATTCAGACTGGCTCTGGGATCCACTCAACCTCCTATACAGT